CCTAAACTATATTAGGAAACTGTGATAATCAAAACAGCATGATGGTATTGGCACAAAAACAGGCTGTAAACCAATGGAACAGAATAGAGACCCCAGAAATAAACTCCAAAACATGCAGTCAACTGATTTTTGACAAAGGGCACCAAACAATCCAGTGGAGAAAAGAAAAACCTCTTTAGCAAATGGTGCTGGAAAACTGAGTATCTACCTGCAGAAAGATGAATCTGGATTTCTAGCTCTCACCACTAGTTGAAATCAATTCGAAGTGAATCAAAGATCTAAACCTACAACTTCAAACTGTAAAACTACTAGTGGATAACACAGAGGAAACTCTTGGAAACATCAAAGTAGGCAAAGACTTCTTAAATAAGAACCCAAAAAGCACAGGCAATAATCCCAAATGTAGACAAGTGGGATTACATCAGGTTAAAAAGCTTCTGTACAGCAAAAGAAACAATAATTAGAGTGAGTCAACAACCCTCAGAATGGGAGAATATATTTGCAAACTATAAATCAGATAAGGGACTGATAACCAGAATACGCAAGGAGCTCAAACAGCTTACCCGAAAAACAAACAAAAAACCAAAACAATCAACCCAATTAAAAGATGGACAAATGAGCTGAACAGACAACTCCCTAAGAAAGATACATGAACAGCCAAGAAGTATATGAAAAACTGCTCAACATCCTTTATGAGATGCAAATCAAAACCACAATGAGATACCATCTAACCCTAGTCAGAATGACTAAGATTAAAAAAATAAAGAAAGATAAGTGCTGGTGAGGCTGTGGTGAAAAGGGAACTCTCCTACACTGTTGGTGGGTATATAAACTGGTACAGCCACTGTGGAGAACAATATGGAGGTTTCTCAAAGACCTACAAATAGAACTACCACATGATCTAGCAATTCCACTCCTGGGTATTTACCCAAAGGACAGGAATACACTCAGTCGGAGAAACACTTGCACAACCATGTTTCTTATGGCATTATTCACAACTGCTAAGACAGGGAACCAATCCAAATGTCCATAAACAGATAAATGGATTGAAAATGTGAGGCACATATATATACTACTCGACCATAAAAAACAAGACCGTATCATTTGATAGAAAGTGGATGAATATGGAAGATTTACTACCAAGCAAAGCAAGCCAGAAGAGAGGCATTGTATAGTTGATCCCACTCAAAATATACTGAATGTTTGTACTGTATGGTAGAAACTGAAAGATTGGAAGGTATAAAAATAGGGAGATCAGCGGTGAACACTGGAACCAGTGTGGGAGGAGGGTAAGAAATGGGGCAGGGTGAGAGAGAAAGAATCAGGGAGAAAAAGAAAGAAACAAAACATTTAAGAGTCACAAAAATGGAAAATTATTTGTTGATGCTAATGTATCTGGTAATATCTTTGACCAGACTAATATACAGTGTATTCATGCTTGGAAAATTCATTTTGTATGTTCTAATGATATACTGTGGTTAAAAGTAAAATAATAATAATAATAATAAAAGATAACTTATTAAAGAAAGAAAATGCAAAGCTACTCTTCCTTTCCTCTCTCATTCTCTTTCCTTCTCTGACATTTCAGAGTTCTGGTCTCCTACCAGCCCAAATCACCTCTCCTCAAAGTGCCAAATTACAAAGAGTAAATCACTTGAGAATGTAAAAGCATCCATGGAAAGCTTACCTTAATGATTAAAAACAAAACAAAACCAGAAAAACTAAAGCCAATAGTTTCAATTAATGAAAGGTGACTAGCGCACTAAAGAAGTTTTTCTCTACTCCTCTTTTGCTAAAAAGTAATAAATCTTTTTTCTCTGAAAAGCTCCACATGATTTTAAAATCCTGAGAAGAAGTTACAACAGCCATTTTTCAGGGGCCTAACATCTAAATGACCTCCCTTACTGTATTTAAACTCCAGAGACCAAGAAGTAAGAAAAGCTCTGTGGACATTTCCTCATTCAAATCAAGAGCATCCAAACCTACTGAACTTCAGAACAATGCACAAAAGGTGACCTGTTATGAACACTGTTAAAATACAATAAAGCTGGGCATGGTGGCATGCACCTGTAACCCCAGCCACTTGGGAGACTGAAGCTCCCAAGGAGGATTGCAAGACTGTAGCCACTTGGACAGCATAGCAAGATGCTGTCTATTCAAAAAATAAAGAAATAAAACTTCTACAAAAAATCCTAGTGAAATACAAGGATCAGTGATTGATTTTTGATCATATAAAATATGAACCATCTAGATCATTTCTCAGTATGTGCCCTCTGGATTAAAAGTGCAAGATCACTGATCTTGACATGGGCCTAATTATTTACACATAATTATATATGTTATGCTACAGGTATAATTATCTTGGTTGACTATTCCAATGTATGCATTTTCTTAAGTTATAAAAAGGTTTTTTTTTTTTGAGAGGTTTTTGCTATAGGGCGCGTGCGCTCACCAGACAGAGACAGAGAGACAGAAAGCAAGAAATAACCCCCCAGAGGGGATGGCCACGCTGCAATCCCTTCTCCTCCATTCCCCTCTCGGGATCTTGGACACGCACGCACACGTGCCCCGCGTGAGTTTAAGCCACCGGGTCCGGGACTCGAATCACAGTCGACTACGTGGGAGTCCAGTGACATAACCATTACGCTAACTGCTGGTCCCGAAAAAGTATGTTTTAAGTAGTAAAATTTTAGATATTCTGAGGTCAATATTTCAGAATATCTACTTTTTTGATAAACATTTATTATGATTGTTATTTATCCCTATTTTACTTTACTTCTTTCTGTGTATAATTACAACATCTATTCAAGATCAGAACATATGGGCATGTGAAAATATCTGACTGGTCAATATGTTGACAATATGGAATAGCTTGCTGAGTAGTCACCGAAAAGCTAATTAGACAGAATATGCTTATAAAGCTATTTTTACACTAAGTTCTCATACCTAACTAGGAATAATATATATTTCACTGTGCTTATTTTTATATAGTTGTCTAATAAAACACTAAGTAACTCCTGAAGCAATCACCTGCTGGTTAGAGGTTAGAACTGTTTCATTTGAATGATCCCAGGGAATTTTACCAAAGACCATGGTAGATAGGTTCTATAATGTACATTGAGCTTATAAATTTATGAATACAGGACCAAGGAAAAGATATATTTGTTGTGATTTTTAGGCCACCGAGTCTGGGACTTGAACTGTGGTTGGCTATGTGGGAGTCCCGTGCCTCAACCACCACACCATCTGCTCGCTCCACCAAGGCAAAGATACAGGTGTGACTGGGTCAGCATAAAGTTTTGTGTATGCTGTATAAGTTCAGTAAAGGACACATGCAGCTCCCATATTTCTCCTGACATTATTAAAGAGAAGACAGGCTCTACTTTGATTTTTTTTTTAAAGCTGTAACTTCTGTTTTAATGAAATAATTGTCCCACAAACCTTGAAAAGTTGAATCTCTAGGGAAGAAGTGTTCTATTGCACAGATCCGCAGGAAGGTCAAGATAGATACCAATCCTTTCTGCACAATAAGTTGAGGAGGGAATTCCAGAGGGCAATGTCTTAAGTTCAGTGCTTTGAGTGTAATTACATTTCCTGCAATGGAGAAGAAAAACTGATCAGCATCCTATACACTATTTTACAGAATAAAAATGAGTTGAAGATGATAGTAACTGTTTTCACATTTAAAAAAAAAAATAGTTCTAGGGACCAGCAGTTAGCGTAATGGCTATGTTGCTGGACTCCCACGTAGTCGACTGCAGTTCGAGTCCCGGACCCGGTGGCTTAAACTCACGCTGGGCACCAGGGAGTGAGTGCCCGAGATCCCAAGAAGAGAATGGAGGAGAAGGGATTGCGGCGTGGCCATCCCCCCTGGGGGGTGATTTCTCGCTTTTTGTCTCTCTGTCTCTCTCTGTCTGTCTGGCGAGCGCACACGCCCTATAGCAAAAAACAAACAAACAAACAAACAAAAACAAAACAAAACAAAACAAAAAAACCTCTCCAAAACAAAAAATAGTTCTATTCAGTATTTGGGATAAAATATGACAGACATCTGAGATTTGCCTTTTAAAAAAATCAAATGTTGGTGAGGTGGTCGTGGAGCAACTAGAACTTTCAACATTGTTGATGGGAATTTAACACAGTACAATCACTTTGAAAATTGTCTGGCAGGCTCCTACTAAACATGTCTACTTATGATGTAGCAATTTCACTCGTATATATTAAACCGAGGGAAATGAAAACATATATCCACAAAAGACTCGAACATAAGGTGTTTAACAGTTTTATTCACAGCAGCTAAAAATAAACAAATAAACAGACAATAATTAGGAAGAGCTCAGATATTCATCCAAGAAGAGACAAGGTTAATGAAAACAGCTGTGGAATATTCACACAATTAAATAGCACCCAGTAATAAAAAGAAACAAGACTACTGATACGCAACATAAATGAATTTCAAAAACATGAGTCTTAAAGTCTTAAAATGAGTATATACTGTATGATTCCATTAATAAGAAGTTCAACAACAGGCCAACTCAAATACTGTAAAAACAAATCAGAACAGTGGTTGACTAGAGGGTGGAGGGAAAGCTAACTAGGAAGAGGCATCTTTCTAGATAGAAATAGAACAGGAAAAAAACAATTTTTTATTTATTTTTTGCTTTACTTTATTCGTCCTATGCTGAGAGTTAACTGATACTTGTAGCTTCTGTAACTAATGTAATATGTAACTAATGTAATCTGTACATATTATAATACATAAAGTTATAAATAAGCCTGTTTGCTTAGAAGAGGAAATTTAAGCCACTTGCTATAAGGAATGGTCACAAACCGCAACCAGGACCAGGGTCCCAAGCCAGAATTTTTATTTTATTTTATTTATTCTTTCATTTGTTCATTATTATTTTTAAAATTTGACCACACAGACACACACACACACACACACACACACACACAGAGAGAGAGAGAGAGAGAGAGAGAGGAGGAGGAGGAGGAGAAAATGAGAGAAAGCAAGCCACCAGGTCCAGGACTCAAACTCCATGAGGGTATGTAAGTGTCCAGAGCCCTGACCACCACGCCACCTGCTGGTTTCACCAAGTGAGAAATGTTAAGAAATGGGAATATTTACTCAAGGGACACAAAGTAACAGGTTAAATTGTGAAGATTATAATAATGTTATTGTTTACCATAATAGTTACTCAGAGAAGTTTAGATTATTTGGTTAAACAGTACAGCTTAAAAAATATGTGGTAGCGTCCCTTAATCTGTCAATGTATGTCACAAGACTGAATCAACAGCTTCAATGTTGCTATAAGAACAAAAACAGGGCATGGAAATAGAAGGTTTATCATAATATTTTCTTATTTATGTTTAGGAAATATTAACGTTACCTTAATCTCCTGGAATATTTAAACTTTTATCTCTACTTTCATCTCTTAATTTTTTCTTGTATATGCCACCTTGTATACAGGCATTACTCACACTGTACATTTGTATTTTTCTGTCGATATTGTTATAAATACTCCCACGCAAATGTTGAAAATGGTTTAAATTAAAAGCATTTGAATTTTGTGGGGGGGAGAACAAAAATGGAGTCATAATCATCACATGGAAGAAAAAGGTGCACAGAACAGTTCTGGGAAAAAAAAAACCATGAGGGTAAGAGTCGCAGTGAACTAGCTAGGTTTATCTCATAGATAACAATGGGTAAATGAGACAGGTAATGGTCTATAACACGCTGGAAATTTCTGTTTTGGGAGTTGGTTGTGGGCGTGTTAGCTTTCGGCCACTCCCTGTGCTTGAACACAACTAAATAAATTTCGTTTCTCTCTTTGCTTCCCCTCTTAAGTATTCACAGAAATGGCTACCGATTTTAGCTGGCAACAGGAACATTCTATATGTGGATTGAAGGTAGGATTACACAAGTGTGGGCACTTTTCAAAATTCGTTTGTATAATAATATCCGTTCCTTCCATAGTAACTAAATCTGAATCAAGCCGAAAGAAGGAAATAGCGAGATACAGAAATCAATGGAACATGTAATAGAAAAAAATATTTAGATTTATTAAGATATTTAGTGAAACAATAAAATGGGGGAGGCAGAGAAAGCAACAATAGATACCAGACACAGTGTGGGAGGAGGGTGGGAGATGGCAGAGGGTGAGATAGAGAATCAAGGATGGGAAAAAAGGCAAAATATACAGAAAGCAAGAAATGGAAAATTATGTGTTCACAATAACACATATGTTGATGTGCTTGATTGAGCCAATATATAGTGTACTGTGAATGGAAAAATCTCATTTTGCATGCTATAATGATGTACAGTGAATGAATGTAAATAAATCAATAAAAATAAATTAAAAAAAAAAAACACCGAGAAAAATCAATGAAACTCAAAGTGTATATTCAAAAAGAGTAACAAAACGGACAAACCTTACCTTGATTGGCCAAGAAAGGTAGAGGGGAGTCCAATTAGGAAAATCAGAAGGGAAATATGAAGTATTAATGCCAACCATACAGAAATAAAAGGAATGAGAAAGGAACAGCCATCTGGCAACAGCTTAGATAATGGAGATGAAATGAACAAACCCCTACAAAGGCACAAACCACCACAATCGACTCAAGAGAAACAGAAAATCTGAACAGATGACAGCAAGTAAATAGTTTGAATAATGGTCCCCGAAGATATTCTGGTCCTATTTTTCAGAATTTACAAACGTTGGGTCGGCAGGTGGTGTGGTGGTTAAAGGCGCTGGATTCCTACATAGTCAACCATGGTTTGGATCGAGTCCTAGATCTGGAGGCTTGCTTCCTGGTTTTTCCTTTCTCTCTCTCTCTCATCAAATTAAAAATAATAATAATAACAAATGGAATTAAATAAATAATTCTTTTAAAAAAAAGAATATACAAACGTTACTTACATTGCAAAAGGAACACTTCAGATGTGATGAATGTGTATTACACATTAATGTGTATTAAGTGAAGAATTTTGAGAAAGGGAGGTTATCCTGAATTATTCAAACAGGCCCTAAATGTAATCTCAGCTATTTTTTATAAGGGAGTCAGAGGGACCTGCTATTACCAGGGAAAACAATGTGATGGCTGAGCAAGATCCTGCACCACTGGCTTTTAGGATGGAGGAAGAGGCCACAAGCAAGGGATGCAAGGAATAGAAGCTGAAAAAGGCAAGGAGCAATTTCTGCCCTAGAGCATCTGGAGGAAATGCAGCCTGCGGACACATGGATTCTGGCCCAGTGAAATTGATTTTAGATTTCTAAGCTCCAGAACTATACCAGAATAAATGTGTGTTGTTTTAAGCCATCACATTCATGGCAATGTGTTAGATGAGCAACAAAGAAATACAAATGGGGTTTGTGCTTAGAAGTTACCAGTTCAGAGACCAGCAGGTGGTATAATGGCTATGTCGTTGGACTCCCGTGTAGTAGACCATGGTTTGACTTTGGACCCCTGGCTTAAACTCATGCCGGGCGCTTGTGCATGTGTGCTCAAGATCCCGAGAGGAGAATGGAAGAGAAGGGATTGCAGCATGGCCATCCCCCCTGGTGCGTGATTTCTCTCTTTCTGTCTCTCTCTGTCTCTCTTGCAAGTGCATGAGCCCTATAGCAAAAATCTCTCAAAATAAATAAATAAATACAATAAATAAATAAAGAAGTTTCCAGTGCCAAGGGAATGGTGCTGACCCAACTGACTTCCTGTGGGGATGATTCTTAAAATTTGTGTGCAAGCAACACACCTGGTTCTATTTAAATTCTATTGCCTAGGTCCAGAGATTCCAGCTCAGGAGGCCCAAGAATACATTTCATTTAATTTGTTCATTCATTCATTAATTTATTTAGAGAGATTTTTGCTACAGGGTATGAGTGCTTGCCAGAAAGAAAGAAAGAGAGCAAGAAATCATCCCCCAGGAGAACGGCCATGCCGCAATCCCTTTTCCTACGTTCTCCTCTTGGGATTTTGGGAACACATACACAAGCGCCGAGCATGAGTTTTAAGCCACCAGATCTGGGACTTGAACCGTGGTGGCCCACATGGAAGTCCAGCAATGTAACCATTATGCCATCTACTGGTCCCAGGAATATGTTTTCAATGAGAACTCCAGGCCATTCTGATGTAGAAGGTCTTATTTTTTTTCTCTTACTGTAATGGTTTTATTGAATATAATCCATGTACTATACAACTCTACCATTTAAAGTGTAAACTCTTTAATGCCTTCACAGAGTTGTACAACCATTACTACAATCCAGTTTAGAATATTTTCTTTACCCTTAAAAGGAACCCCTTACCCTTCGCTTTTTTTTTTTTTTTTTAACAAGAGAGATTTTTGCCATAGGGTGTGTGAGGTCACTGGAGACACACACAGAGAAAGGGATGCTTCTTATAGTAGGACGTCCTCTTGCCTCTGGTCTAATGCACACACATGTGCTCAGTATGAGTTTCAAGTCACCAGGTCTGGGACTCAAACTGTGGTCAGCTATGTGAGAGTCCAGCACTCCAACCACTACACCACCTGCTGACCCCACCCTTCACTATTCTTAATACCACATCCTCATTAGGCCCTAAGCAATCGTTCTATCTCTATGGATTTACCTATTCTGGACATTTCATATAAAAGAAGTCTCACAATTTTTAACTTTTGCATCTGGCTTCTTATACTGAGCCTGATGTTTCTTAGATTTACCCGTGTTGTACCATGTATCAGTAATTCTGTCCTTTTGTTGCTGAACCCCCTTGTTCAGAGATACCACATTCGGTTTATACATCCATCAGTTGATAGTCACAGGAATGTCCCCACCTTTTGGCTACTGTGAATCATGCTGTGTGACTCTGACATCCAAGAATCTGAGTCCCTGCGAAGGTCATAATTTCAGACACAAGAACAACAGATGGAGGGGTATCATTCTCCCTTATATATTTAATATGTATTGCTTCCAAAGGAAGGGTGGTGGTAAGTATATCATAATAAGGTACAGCAGCCTTAGAAAACCAAGGAAATGAAGAGATTCAATTAATAATAAAAAGACAAAGAAAAACCCAGGACCAGATTGCGTCACTGGTGAATTGTGCCAAACATTTAAAGAAGAAAGAGTACTAATTCTTTATCAACTCTTCCAAGAACAACGCATTATATGAGGTCATTATTATCCTGATGCCAAAAAAGACATAAGAAAACTGCACAGCAATATGAAAATAGACATAAAAATCTCCAATAAAATACTAGCAACATGAATTCAATAATATATTAAAAGCATGATATATTAAGACCAAGTGGCATTTATCCCAGAATTGCAAAGTTGGTTTAATAGCTGAAACTCAATGAATGTAATACACCTTAACAACAGGATAAGGACAAAACCCCACAGATTATCACAATAGATGCAAAATAATAATAATAATAATAATAATAATAAAGGCATTTGACAAAATTCAACATCCTTTCATAATAAGAACACTCAATATGCCAGGATTAGAAGGAAACTTCCTTAACTTAGTAAAGGGCATCTGTGAAAAATATATAGCTTTTCCCAGCCAGTGCTGAGCGATGGGTATCTGTTGGGACAACTGGCACAAATGCTACAAGACCACAGGCAAGAGGACGTCCACCACAAAGAGCACAATTATGAGCCGGCATGTCCTGCTGCCAATGCTAAGATTGGCCCCCATCACAGACACGGTCTGTGTGTAATCAGACAACAGGAAACACCACGCCCAGAGGCTGGACTTGGGGAACTTTTCCTGGGGCTCAGAGTGTTGAGCTTGCAAAAACGGAACCACTGATGTTACCTATAGTCATCCAATAACAAACTGGTCCGCACCAAGACCCTGGTAAAGAACTGCATTGTGCTCATTTACTCAGGACACCACACTGACAATGGTATGAGTCCCACTGTGCACGGCCGCCCTGGACCACAAGAATGGGGCCAAGCTGGCCCTTGAGGAAATAGAGATTTTTAAACACAAAACAATCAAATAAAATTCAGAAGGAATATGATGAAAGGAAAAAGAATGCCAAAATCAGCAGCCTTCTGGAGGAGCAGCACCAGCAGGGCAGGCTTCCTGCGTGTACTGTACCAAGACCAGGGCAGTGTGGCTGAGCAGATGGCTGTGTGCTAGCAGGCAAGAAGTCAGAGTTCAATCGGAGGACAATCAAGGCTTAGAAAGGCAAGTAAATCCTCCTCCTTCCTATCTTAGCTCATGTCAGAAAGGTGGGTCCCCCCCCAAAAAAAAATACCCAGCGTCACACCGAATGGATGATTTCCCTAATATCACATATCAGACAAGTGGATTTTTAAATACTTCTTTAGTTACTGACAGAAAAAAAGGCAAAAGAAAATCAAAGATGTAGACAAGTTGAACAATATGAGTAACCAAGCTGATCTGATAGGATACATAGAACATTACACCATAGAACAACTTGAAAAATACATTCTTCTTGAGCACAGACGGTCACACCCATCAGAACAGAACATATGCTGGGCCAGAAAGCAAGTCTCAATGTTTCAAATAACCAAAATCACACAGTGTATGTTCTTGTGTGATTAAATCAGATTAAACTGTGGGATTAACTAGAACTCAATAACAGAAAGATAATTGTTTGTCAATTAGGCAACAGATTTCTAATAGCACACGGGTCAATAAGCATCAGAAAATATTTTGAGCTGAATGATAAAAACATTACATGTTGAAACATGCAGGATGCAACTAAGGCAGTCTTCAGAAGGAAATTATAGTTGTAAACACACATTAGAAAAGAAACATTTAAAATCAATGATCTGAACTTTCAACCTAATAAGTTAGAAAACCTTAGCAAATTGAACTAAAAGAACAGACAAAAATTAATAAAGAGCAGAAATCTATGAGATGAAGCACTGGGTTACTGGGAAAGTCATGACACATTTTTGCATAGAAAAACAGAAAAATACTTCATGACCTTCCCGACAACCTAGTAAGTGCACAACAAAGAAAAATATATCTTCCTCCTCCTCAGTTACAGCAGGGAAAATGAACGAAAATGAGTGAACTGAAGTGACACATGTTCACATGGATAAATCCCAAAATCATAGTATTGAATATAAAAAGCAAATGACCAGGCCAGCCAGTGGCGTGATGGTTGAGGCAGCTGGATCCCACATCAGTCAGGCAGCTGACTATACAGTTTGGGTCCTGGACCTTGCGGCTTGAAAAACTCACTGGGTACATGTGTGTGCATGCCCAAAATCCTAAGAGGGAACTAGAGAAGAAGAGACTATGGCATGGCCATCCCCCCTGGGGGTGCTTTCTTACTCTGCCCAGCCCCTGACCTTCATATTTCTCTCTTTGGTGAGTGCGTGAGTCCAATAGCAATTTTTTTTTCAAAGAAGGTAAATCACTATATATATATATAATTCAATTTATTAAAAGTTCAGAAGTAGATCACTTTAAATGATATATTATTCAGGCATATATAACTGATAACACTTTCTATAGTGCACGTGCGCTCACCAGACAGACAGAGAGACAGAAAGCGAGAAATCACCCCCCGGGGGGATGGCCACACTGCAATTCCTTCTCCTCCATTCTCCTCTAGGGATCCTGGGCATGCACCATAACTGATAGAACTTTCCAGGAAAGCAAGAAAGACGTAATGGGGGAGGGCAGAGACCTGCAGACATACGTACAAGGACAGTTAAGTTTCCCTCAGCTGTGTGCTGGGAACAAAGCTCTTCATTTTTATTGCTCCTATCAATGCTTGTACGTCATACTCTTATGTGTAATACACATTATAATATTAGCAGCTCTTAAAAACTATATCATCTTAGAATTGTAGAAGTAGAAGGGGTTTTGAGTATAATTTAGTTTACCCTCCTATGTCTCATACGTACCTGACCATCTCCATTATAGAGTCCAATGACTCCAAAAGACAGCAGTTAAAAGTCATGCCTTATTTTATTGTCTCAACACTTACCCAGCTCTACAGGTAACGTTTTGATAGGATTTCTTTCTAAAAGCAAAGTTTTCAAGTGCCTTTAAAACAAAACAAAAAGATTATTTCAAAGGTGGAAAATTAAATGATCATCTCTAAAAATGCCATTACATGTCTTCATTTTTCTTCTCTTGAAGGGGGCAACTTTGATAAAGATATATTGGGTCATCAGAAAAGTCATGATGCATTTTTGCATTGAATAATACATCGTGACTTTTCAGATAACCAAAGGCATCAGGTTGGGGCCAGCTGGTGACATGGTGGTTAAGGTGGCTAGATCCTACATGATCAACTGTGTGATTGCAATCTCAGACCTAGACACCTGAAAAACACGTCAGGTGCACATGTGTGCATCCCTGAAGTCCCCAGAGGAGAATGAAGGAGAAGGGACTGCAGCATGGCCATACCACTGGGGGTGCTTTCTCACTTCCCCTCTTTCTCCCCACCTCTCTCTCTCTGGTGAGCACACGCACCCTATGGCAAATGAAGAAGAAGAAAGGAGGAGGAGGAGGAGGAGAATGTGAAGAGGAAGAAGGAGAGGGAATAGGAGATGGAGGTGGAGACAAGATGATGAAGAAAAGATATATGTAAGTTTACAACACAAGCACACAGTCTATTGCCACTAGCAATGTGGCTCTAACTTTGAGGGTCTGGCTGAGGCTCTCTCAGCCTTAGCACTACTGCCATTCGGGATCAGGCACCTTTCAGTGTGGGGCTGTCCCATGCATTGTGGGGTACTTATCAGTCAGTGTCCCTGGCCTTTTCCCTCTAAATGCCAATAGTACAACCCATCCTCACAGTGTGGCAACCACAAATGTCTCTAGACATTGTCAATGGTCTGGGGACAAAACTGGCCTTAGCTGAGAACCTTTGTTCTGGACTTTATCTTCCACTGATGACCCTCATCACATCCCCATGCTTCCTGAGGTGTGTTGTGAAGAATCCTAATGCTTGAAGATGCTTTGTGTTTGGGAGACTTCTGCAATAGTTTATCCCACCCTGTTTATAGATAAATCATTCACACACTAGGGATTCTGAGACTTCTTTAAAAGTAGGGTAACATAGTTTAAGTCAGAATTTTTCTTTCTTTCTTTTTCCTTTTTCTTTTCTTTGTTCAATAGGGCACATGTGCTCACCAGAGGCAGAGGGAGAGAGGGGTAGAGAGGGAAAGTAAGAAAGCACCCCACAGGGGGGTTGGCAACGTTGCAGCCTCTTCTCCTCCATTAACCTTTTGAGACTTGGGGTATTCATGCACATATGCCTCGTTTGGTTTTCAAGCTGCTGGGTCTGGGACTTGAATCACACAGTTGGCCAAGTGGGATCCACCTGCCTTAACCACCATGCTGCCAACTGTCCTTAAGGTAGTATTTCTGTAATGTGTTTGACCATGGATCCCTTCTTTCATTTACTACCTATTGTCATTGCTTATAAAAGTTAGCACAAATTATTTCATTCATAGATAGGCAGACAGAATAGATAAAAGGTATCCAATAAAAATTTACTAACTGAGGGACCAGCAGATGGTGTAATGGCTATATTGCTGGACTCCCACTTAGTCGACTGCAGTTCGAGTCCCAGACCCGTTGGCTTAAGAATCACACCAGGCACGGTTGCATGTGTGCCCAAAATCCTGAGAGGAGAATGGAGCAGAAGGAACTGCAGCATGGCCATTCCCCCCAGGGGGTGATTTTTCACTTTCTGTATCACTGTCTCTCTGTCTCTCTGTCTCTCTCTCTCCAGCGAGCGCACATGCCCTATATTAAAAATCTTTCTCTCAACAACAACAACAAAATTACTAATTGAATGATAATGGAAAAAAATCGATATTTAATATTAAACTCTACCTTGTATCTTTTATTTTATTTGATTCTTATTTATCACATTTAAGTCTTTAGACTGTATCATATATCAATGATCATTTCCTCCTTCACTTTTCAGCCATCACCAGCTAATTTAGCATAACAAGACCACAAATACCTTGGCTCCCTTGGTTTGCTTTCAGTCTATGGATCTGAAGCCCCATTTCACCCCAGGTAGAGGGCAGAACTCCTGACCTCTGTCCATTTTGCACCTGTTACATACTGGGGGATTCACCAAGAGGCTCTTTGAAGTAGAATCACTGAAAACCGCTGCACTACCTAATTCCAGGGCTGATCTGTGACCTCATCATGCCTGTATGGCAGCAGGGAACAGGCTGTGCTGAGCCCATGAACACCCAGGGATTTGGGCCAGGGAAAATTGCCTGCCACTGCAGAGAAGTCCACACAGTTGCAGCAGCACCCAGCCTGGGAAAAGTCCATGCCTTCTTTTTCATTTATCACAGCATCACCAGAACCGCATGTGGTCCTGGCTCCTGGAAGGCTGGGTAGCACCACAGCCAATCAACAAGGGTAGCTGGCATGGCCTGGAGTGTAAACCAATCCAGGTTCCTATCTGCAGCTCCCCTCCCGCAGAAACGGTTTCTCAGGGAGGAGTACAGTCACATATGAATGCATATTCCATTAAAAAATAAACGCATTCGAAGGAAGACACCCCTGAATCTCATTCCGCATTGGAAGATAAAAAATATATATAAATAAAATCCAATATCACAGCTAACAAGGGTCTCAAAAATTTGGAAGGGGAAAAATATAACTTCACAGATATAAAATGGAGACATCTAGCATTTCATTTAAATTTAGACTTATTTTTTGACTGGCAACCCAAAAGGAAAATCAGATTAGTTAAGGACTAGACAATTTCCTTTTCACTTACTTTCTGGATTTTCCTTATTATTTGAAGATTTTAAGCAATAAACTTTAGGCAGTAACCTTTTCTTGAAGTGTATAAGGCAGATTATCTCAGTGTTGTTACTCCAGCTCATCATTTTTGGTTTAATCCCCTTTTAATTTTGCTAATACAAAAATAGCCCACAAGGACAGCAGCTGCTCTCTAAAATCAACAGAGGCCTCCAGATGCTGAGGACGGCAGCAGGAAGTGAAAAAGCGCCCTCAGCCTCTCCTATGCCAGGCCTTCCTCAAAGCCAAGCGCATTCTAGCCTTCTTGTGTGATGCTGTGTTCTATTTTAGTGGAGTGCAAGCTTATTAACATTAACCTGAAAATACAAAGGGATTTCTCTACCTTATATAATAACATATTAAAGTATTCTTGGGCCAGCCCCATAGTGTAGTGGTGAAAGGAGCTGAACCCCATATAACTGACTGTGGTTTAAATCCCAGCTCCTGGTATGGGAGGGATTCAAAACACACCAGACACATGTGTGTGCATGTCCAAAATCTAGGCAGGATGAAGAAATGGAGGAGAAGGGATTGTGCCCCATTGGGGGGTGCTTTTTCTCCTTCTTTCTCTCTCTCTTTCTCTATCTCTGTCTCTCTCTGACCAGCTCATGTGCCCTCTAGCAATTAAAAAAAAAAAAACCTGTGCACATTTTAAATGATAAACTTATAATGCTAATTTCTTAAATACTGTGATTCAAAGTTTTATTCAATGATTATTTCATTTCATTGATTTCTAGTTGAACATATAAATTTATATACTAAACTGGACTCGTTTGCCTAAAAAGACAAATGAACTGCTTTATAATTTTTAAATCTCTCTCTTACTAGCAAGCTCACACGTCCAAAACATGGAGAAGTGGGAGAACTTTAATACTGTCATTGTCTTAATTGTGTTTTTTTGAAAAGTTTAAGGCTTTTAGTAAGCCCATAATTACTTAAAATTTCTAATTAATATGTTTCAGCTCTTTAGCAACTAATTTTAATGATATAAGAAGTTAAAATCACAGGCAAAATTACATCTTAAACAACATTAAGCAGCTGGCTTTGACTGGCAAAATCAAAGAATTATAAAATTTGAGAACCGTGTACTTATTTTAGGAAAAAGAATAGCACTTATGGGAATAGGCTAGAGTTTATTTTTATACTCTTAGTAGCAATTACTCTCCAGAACTGAGTGCTAAGACTAAAATAATTTGTGGACAAAGAGCACTGAGTTACCCTAAACACAGAGGATGATGATCTCGTGAAGAAAAAGTCCTTCCCAAACCACTCTAGACTACGGGCTCATAGACTCCTGAGGCCACCTAGGTCCAGTTGTGGGGACGGGGTGGAAACGAGAGCTCAGCTCTCATCACATGACCAACAAACGTGCCTGTGATTTCTTACTTTGTCTCTCTGTCTCTCTCTGTCTCTCCGACAAGCACATGTGCCCTATAGCAAAAATCTCTTAAAAAAAAAAATATATATATGTTAACAACAGTGAGTTCATGGTAAAAGATGGGCCTTCTCCATGCCTCTATCCTATTGTTTCACAGTGGCCATCGTGGACCCAGGCAGGAACTGGAGTTCACCTTCGACACTTATCTTCCCCTCATGTCTCATGTTCAACCAGAATCTCCCAAGCAAGACCCTCTCCGAGGCCAGCCCCATTCAGGCCACCACTTCTTGCATGGATTGTTGGACTGCTGCTGCGGCCTTCTAACTGGTCTCCCTGTTTCCACTCTCATCCCAATAGCCTCCTCTCCTTAGAGTGATCTTAAAGTCAAGCAAGATTCCAGTCCTCTTCATGTAACCTTCCTATGACTTCCCATTTCCTTCAAACTGAAATTCAAAATTGAGACCAGGACCTACAAGCTCTAGCCGACCCTCCTTGGACTCATCTCTTGCCATGTTCCCTCTTCTACTTTATCATGTTGGTCTTCTTGCCATCCCTCCACCTATAAGCACACACCCACCTCAGGGCCTTTGCAGATGCCTTTCCCTCTGCCCCATGAATGAATGAATGAGAGGTGTGTCTAGAGTGTTTACCAAAGAGGTCGGGATGTATTGGTTTCAGGAGGCTAGGAGACACGGGCACAGAAGGACACGGGCACTGAAGGCAGGAGAACAACTCTACAGGGAGAAGGATGAAATGAAGTGAGACATTCCAATAACAGGGTAGAACTACACTCTCTAAGTGGAGAGCTCTGGAATCAGAGGGGCAGGAATGTGGCAGAATAGCACAAGCTGCTTACTGGGGGATTTCTCCTTTTCCAGAACAAGAAGAATTTCTCATTATTTTTCAAGAATTGACACAGTTGGCTCTCAGGAATTAAGTAACTGGTTTTAATTCATCAGAGGTATTGCAGAACTTCAGGTAGCTTCACACAGAGAGAGTCAGAGATGGAATCAGCTTTTGCAAAAACCACATGGACTGCCCAGCAAAGGAGCTGTGGCTACTCGCATTCTTTGTAGTACCCAAATATCCCAAATTATAATTCCAGTTATGTGCATTAGGTATATTCAGCCAGTGCACCACTTAGCTAACTTTAAAAATACTATTAAATGCTTCTATTCTGAAATAAACATGCAAAAAAGGGTAGAAATCAAGCAGAAAGAGAACAAACACTTATTCATTCTTCTTTTTTTTTTTTTTTAGTTTGCCAGAGGGCACATGAAGAGAGAAAGAGAGAGAGGGAAAGTGAAAAAGCATCCTCCATGGGGCATAGTTATGTGACAACGCCATCTCTACTCCTTTCAAAATTTTGGGTATGCACGCGCACACACATACACTTCTGGGTCTGGGATTCAAATGAGGCAGCCAGCAACGTGGGATCCAGCCACCTTAACCACCACCATGTCATGGGTTTGCCCAGCACTTACACATTCTAAAGAGATATTTTTTTATTTAATTTGAAAACATAAACATACGACTTACTTATGAGATCCAATCCCAGAAGGAAGCGTCTTAATTTTATTATACCGGAGGTCTAGCCAAGTCAGGTTTGGCAGTAACTGGAAGAAATCTTTAGGAATCATGGAGAGGGCATTCCTTTGGAGATGCAATTGCTTCCACAGAAAAGAAGACAGAATCAGAAAATGTTTTGTAAGCCAACTAAACTTTACATGTTATATCTAAAATATCTAAAAAGCATTTGTCAAAAAACTATTAACAACTGTAAGTATACATATCAAGGAAAAAAAAACACCATAATATTTTACCCTTAAATTATTTAAACAATAGACACAAAAGTCAGAAAGAAAAGAGCTAGGACTTCTTCAGGCAGTTTTCAGCATGGAGAGTGACTTCCTGGATAGTTGCAGGCTGTCTCTAAGCACATCACTTTTCGTATTGAATATCCTTTGACACCAGACTGAATCCCATAGCTATAAAAAATCATTTTTCTCCTTCTTGGGCCCCACATTGAGTTTCATGGCTCTTTTCCCAGCACCTGCCATAGCACCTGGCTCTCAGCATCCCCTAGAAATGTCCGCCCAATTAGCGAATAGCAATAGCCCTGTCTGGTACTACGGCAGCAATTAAAAGGAAAGTAAAAGACCCTTAACTAAGACATTTGCTGTGGCATGACCTATGATAAACAGTCACACAAAAGTAATATCAATAACTGTGATTTCAGGAACAGTTTGACTCAACTCAGGAATTTCAAATCACCATCATAAATAAAACAAGGGAAGATAGAAGACGAACGTATATACATTGACTTTAGTCACGTCAAATGTGTATGTATATGACTTTCTAGCTATAGGATGGCAGGACGAGAGGTAAATTAGAAAAAACTTTCATGAGTGCTATTGTTACCTGTTGTATATATTTATATTATATGCATATTTAGAACTCTGTATTTACTGAGCTAGTAGAAGCAGATGTTCAAAACACTGACCTTGAAGCTAGATGGCCTGGGTTCAAATCTAGGTTTTAAAACCTATTCAGTGTGTGACCTTGTGAAAGTTCCTGAACCTCTCTGTGCACCTGTGTTTTCACCTGTAAAAAGGGGCTCATGAGACCTCCCTCACAGGACAGCACTACATGAGCAGTTCATGGCAGACAGGATGTCAGTATTAGCTACTGCAATGATTAGGTCTTCAGGAAAGTCACGACATAGCTTTCTATGCAAAAATGCATCATGACTTTGAGACAGCCCAACATATTTATTGCCTTTTCCACAGAAAGCCACCGAGTGTTACCAGTGCCACCATGCAGCTCCTTTTCTCTCATAATTTCACAACTCCATTCTACCTCCAACGTCATCTTTAAAATCCAAATCATTTAGGGATCTCAATCCAAGAAAGACTTGGAAAATCACACTGTTTATAAAATACACTGAAGGTAATATATATCATCTATCAGTTAAGAAATTTCCTGTTGGCAGCTGGCATGGTCTCCAATTACAGATGCACATGTGTGCCTCCACATGTATGTGCACACATACCTCCACCTATGTATGTGTGTTTCCATATACATGTGCATGCATGCCTCCACCTGCGACCCTTCTGTGCTATAGTGAAAGTTTTAAACTTCTCAGGTCTGCTCTTTCCCCTCAGTGCAAGTTCATTGTAATGCTCAGTTTTGAGACCACAGATCCGCCTAAATGCCAGTAAAAGGAATCTCAGTAAGATAATAAAACTCTTCCTTCTTTCTTGGCACATCTGGAAAATCAGACACTATTCTACATCAAAAAGCTGGTTGTTGGGGACCAGCAGTTAGCATAATGGCTATGTCGCTGAACTCCCACATAGTGGACCACGGTTCGTGTCCCGGACCTGGTGGCTTAAAACTCATGCTGGGCGCCTGTGCGTGTGTGCCCAAGATCCCGAGAGGAGAATGGAGGAGAAGGGATTGCAGCATGGCCATCCCCCCTGGGGGGTGATTTCTCGCTTTCTGTCTCTCTGTCTCTCTCTGTCTGTCTGGCAAGTACACACGCCCTATAGCAAAAAAAACAAACAAACAAGCAAAAAACCTCTCCAAAAAAAAACTAGTTGTTAGGGGGACCAGCAGGTGGTATAGTGATTAAGGAGTTAGATCCCACATGGCCAACCACAGTTCAAGTCCCAGACCGGGTGGCTTGAAAATCATGCTGGGGGGAACCAGCAGTTAGCGTAATGGCTATGTCGCTGGACTCCCACGCACTTAGTCGACCGCGGTTCGCGTCTCGGACCCGGTGGCTTAAATCTCACACCGGGCGCGTGTGCGTGCGTGCCCAAGATCCCGAGAGGAGAATGGAGGAGAAGGGATTGCGGCGTGACCATCCCCCCGGGGGGTGATTTCTCGCTTTCTGTCTCTATGTCTCTCTCTGTCTGTCTGGCGAGCGCATGCGCCCTATAGCGAAAACCTCTCAAAAAAAAAAAAAAATCATGCTGGGTAAATGTATATGTGTGCCCAAAATCCCAGGAGGAGAATGGAGGAGACAGGATTGCAGCATGGCCATCCACCCTGGGTGGAAGGGTAATTTCTCATTTTCCCTCTCAGTCTCTGTCTCCCTCTGGTGAGCACACGTGCCCTATGGCAAAAACATAAAATTAAAAATTAAAAAGCTGGCTGAGGGAAACAGTGGGTTGACTGCTACGGGACCTTTGTCCTTTCTTTAGGTCCTAGGAGCCACCCTTTCTGTATTCTGTGAGTATGAGCACCTTTAGAAGTATTATTTGTGACTCTGGAAATGGCTGCTACAGCAGAAACCTGCAACATGTAAAAGTCTGCAACGCTAGTGGTCACCTTACTTAGTGATTTGTTGCCATAGTAATAACATTTATATTGACATCTGTTTTCAGAAAGGCATAAACAGGAAGTATCTTGATTAAGCCTGAAGGACTTTTGAATTTCTCCCTCCTCTCTATGCAAGAAGGTAACATAAACCTCATGACTCTCCTGGATCCCTTATTCAGAGTTGAGAGCATTTACTTCATGAAAAGCCATGCATGCATAACAGAAGCCCTAATAAGGTGGAGCCTGGTGGCCAGTAATTTACTCATAGACTCATAGACGCC